TTAAAACTGATTAGAAGGGAAAAAATGATGACTCTCCTTTGCTTATCCTGTCTACTGTACACATCCTAAGTGTTTTAGAGGATGAGAACCAAAATAATGAAACTGAAATACAATATATATTTCAAAATATGTATCAGAAACTTTTGAGAAATTAAAAAATAAGGGGAAATTGAACCAACTGAATGAGACTTACATTTCAGGAAAAGGAATTGATACAGTATGACCAACCACAAAACATATACTAGCAAAGCAAATAGTATTCAAATATATATTTTTAAAAGGACTTTTGGGTATCAAAGGGCAAAAAAAAACTAAGGACACCTAAAAGGGAAAATGTCAGACTGGCCTGACATCGTAAGATTCAATAAATTAATGGAGCAAAGTTCTCATGGAAAGCAAATGACACACATATTTTATAGCCTAAAGGGAGAGACAAACATTTTCAACTTTCAAAAACTTACCTTTCCTGAAAACTATACTGAGGGAAAAACTGCAGAGAACCAAGAAACAAATAGGAAAACTACAATAAAGGGCCTAGATTTACCTATAAAACTAAAATAAAAATAAATGCAGGAATGATGGTTTACAGAAGTATATAAATGCTCTGAATGATTTAATTAACAAAACTGGAGTTGGATACAGGTCATAAACACAGGTTATTTTTTTCTATCTTTGTTCAGCCATGCTTCATAAAACATTTACGTCTAACAGCATTATATTTTAAGTTTGAAAAGCAAACAAAGAGATAATATGACCATCTAAAACCAGGGGAGGAATTTAAGAGAGAGGGGAGGAAAGAGAAATGCATGGAAATCTATTAGTTGTGTCATTGCTCATAAGAGGAAATCAACAGATATTATCCAAAAGTAGAAGATTTGCTATTATATTCATAAAGTAGCTAGAACATGTATTTAAAATGATCAAAGAAACACAGTGTCAGGAAAGCAAGGAAAACATCATATAATGAGTCTTTTTTTTCAAGAAGCAATTTTAACTAAAGACTAAGCATACACTGTCAGAACTAAGACATATACTGATCAATGCGAAGGCAGGGACTCATTAGCTGCTGCTGGCCGAACGACACACATCTGTACCTGTCACATGCGCAGTTGTCCATGTGTGACCCACGGACATGTTTTCACTTTATTTTAAACTTAGCGAACTGAGAGTTGCAAATAATCATATTTCATCTGTGTTTACTTAGTGATTGATGAAATTCCATGTTTTTCTCAAAAGTATTGGCCTTTTGCATTATTTGGGGGAACTGTTACTCCATGCTTCCCATCTCTCTCATGGTTTACCAAAAAAAAAAAAAAAATCCTAAAACAGCCTTCGAGGTCCTGTGGGATCTAGTACCCTAGGTCTTCCTGTGGCTGTCTCTAAACTCTGTGACAAGGTCTCCTTTACTCCTTCTTTCTCATCCCTAATATTAGAGTGCCCTGTGCCCTGCAGTCTTTGCATTGTTTTCTTTTCTGTCTGTACTTGCTCCTCCGGTGACTTCAATTTTGTAATTCAAAAATAACATCGATATGCTGATATCCTTCCAACTTATATCCTCAGCCTTGGCCTCCTCATCACCTCTGCTCCTAAAGCCAGGTTCAAATCTCTCCTGTTCACCCCACGTCCTCATGTGGGGATCAAGAAAGTACAGGGCCCAACACACCCGGCTCTATGTCCTCCTCTCACTGCTGACTTCTGCTACCCACTCCAGGTTTGCCACTCACCAGATGAGTCCTTTTCAGGTCATCCTAAATAAAACAACAATACCTAATGATACCTAACATTCACATTCCTCGTGAGTTTTCAGCCAGCCCATTATCATTACCTGATATATTCTGTAAATAGATAAATAGGTAATAGAACAAGATAGATAGAAAGATAGAGAGCAACAATTCTATAGCATTGTTTTGGGACTTTACAGATGTAATTAACAAATAGAATCTGCCCAGCAACCCATGAAGTGAGAACTGGAATTACTCTCTTTTTATAGATGAGGCACAGCTCAAGGTCATGCAGCTGAAGTGGAGCCTGCAGAAGTTAGAATAAATCTTGGCCATCGGATTTCAAACTACAGGATCTCAACCACTACTCTTTATAGGCTTTCATATCTACATATATATATATTTTTTAATATGATTTTATATATAATTATAAATACATATAATATATATATCTATATATATTATATATATTTTTCCCCGTCTCCCACTAGAATACAAACACCACTTGGGCAGGAACTTTATTATGTTCACTGTCTTAACCTCAGCTCCTAGAACAAGAGCTTGAAATGTAGCCGGCAATCAATAAAACTTTATTGACTAATGGGAACTCATATCTTTCAAACAAAATAAAAATTGATGCTTATGAACGAAAAAACTACTACTGGCTTCCAGTCTAATAATAATAAAAGATATTTCAGAATAGTTAGAAAAAAAAACCTGGATGTCTGCCGGCAGAGTTACAGAAAACTTCATGCAATAAAAGGAAAAATGAATTTTTTAAAAAATCTGAACATTTAAAAATTCTACGTCATGTTTCCCAGAAACAATTCTGCCATGTTCATCATTATATGCAGTATTAGCATTAAGGAAAGGGCAATCAGACTGGTAAATTCATAAATCATCTCTGTGTTGCTACCTCGAAAAAAAATTAAATATAGATAAAGAAATATAAAGCCTTAAACTGGGACCATGGCAATGCGAATGGAATGAAAGGAAACATCTGAGAAATAAGTCAGGGTGTTAAGAACAGGAGCCTTGATTCACTGAATTTGGCGACATAGACAAACTTCTAGTTTTCTGCCTCGAGTGACCGGTAGAGGGCAGTGCCACCAGTGTGTCGGGTTCAAGGGGGACATGCTGATTTTATTTTAGCCGTACAACATCCAAATTGAGATACCAGGATGACTATGAGACATAAAGATCTAAAGTACAGGGTAGAGGTCACAACTCCCTGACTCGAGAGTCATGGGAATATAGAGATGGTACTTAAGATCACAGGATCTCCCAGATAGTGAGTACCAGGTGCAGAGAGAAGCAGGCCAAGGGCCAAAGCTAGGGAAAACCAAGGGTCGTGCCTAACATTGTTTATTTTGCATTGTATATGTTCAATACTTACTCATGATTAAGGAAACAATGGTGCCCATGACCTGCCAAGATTTAGGGAAAAAACAGATTCTGGCTTTTACTTGAACTAAGAAATAGGGGTTTTCCGTTTTTGTTTTTGTTTTTTTTTAATTTTTAAAATTTCTTTTCAGTGTTCCAGAATTCATTGTTTATGCACCACACCCAGTACTCTATGCAATATGTGCCCAATAATACCCACCACCAGGCTCACCCAACCCCCCATCCCCTCCCCTCTAAAAACCCTCAGTTTGTTTCTCAGAGTCCACAGTCTCTCATGGTTTGTCTCTCCCTCCAATTTCCCCGAACTCACTTCTCTCCATCTCCCCCATGTCCTCCATGTTATTATTTATGCTCCACAAGTAAGTGAAACCCAATGATAATTGACTCTTTCTGATTGACTTATTTCACTCGGCATAATCTCTTCCAGTCCCGTCCATGTTGATAAAAAAGTTGGGTATTCATCCTTTCTGATGGAGGCATAATACTCCATAGTGTATATGGACCACATCTTCCTTATCCATTTGTCCGTTGAAGGGCATCTTGGTTCTTTCCACAGTTTAGTGACTGTGGCTATTGTTGCTGGTTTTCTTGAGCCAAAAAGACCTCGCTTTCCCTCCCTTTTTCAAGCTGGTTTTTGAGTGGCTGGTTACTTTTCCTGCATTTTACAAGCCCTCAAAAGTCTATACAACTGATTTTTCAAAAGAAATAACCTCTCTGTCTACAATCTATCCATACAACAAGCAGTCACTGAGCACCCTGGATTTGCAAAGGCTTCTTGTTAGGACCAAGGATGAGGAGTAAAATGTGGGTATAAAATATTGTCCCTATCCTCAGAGGATATAAAATACAATTTAGAAAGAGGACAAATCCACAAAGATTTAAGTAACAACTCCCAATAGTCCATGTGCTGGAGGACTGGCAGACAAGAAGAGCTACAAGGGTTCAGAGGAAGAGAGGCAACCCAGGAGGAGTGGGGCGGAGCTGGACTAAGAGACCAGGAGTGGGGCAGAGAGTATCATTCAGGTGCTTAGGTCTGAGCAAACTCTAGGAGAGTCCAAAGATCAAGGTTTCTGTAGGAAACAGTTTGCAAAGGAATGGACAGCAGAAGGGTGGGAAGGCAGAGTAGGGGAATTCAAAGGTCAGGTTCGGTTTCTCTCTCTCTCTCTCTCTCTCTCTCTCTCACACACACACACACACACACACACACACACACACACACACACACAGTCACTCAATGGAGAATCACCTTTCATTTTTTCCTCTTTTTTGCTCTTCTCTGAATCTCCTTTCAGGGAAACTCAAGACCTAACACAAAGCTTCCCTTGCTTGTCTATAAATGCGAGTCACACCTAGCTTTCTTTTTGAGTCAGAGTTCTTGGGAGTATAGGATTTTAGATTTGGCACATATTAGGGAGTAGTTAGTGTTGGAAAGGGAGGGCAAAATTCAGTGAATTCTAGATTGTTCTAGAAAGAAAATCCTAGAGATGCCACATTTCTTGGGAATTCTCATTCCCAAGTTAGACAGGTCACTTTGGACAGAAATAGAATGGAGCTTTGATAAACTAATTAAAGTCAAATCCCATGGGAGATGTGGCTCTAAGTAACCTCTAAACCATAGACTGAGTCATAGTCATTTCCAGACCCTTTTTGGTATAATCAAACAGCAACTCAACTGAGGATTCAGTGGGCCACTGAAGACCCCTTTACATAATACTGACATATAAACCCTTCTCCTTTCACCAGAAGTCTTGGATCCCCCCAGAGAACAGGTCACCAGAGCAGCAAATGAGGGACTGCACCCCAGCCCATCTTCACAACCGTGGGAAAGCCACCCTCATTCTCCTGACATCACCTGACTGCATTTTCTGGACTCACCTGAATGAAGATATATTCATCCTGAACAACCAGGGAACTGATGTCAATGGAGCGGGCAAAAGGCCCACTGCGAGTGGTCTCGGCACATTCCTGGATCCTGCAGGTGAGGTAGTGAGCATCTGAAATAGGAGAGCAACACTTAGACACAAGGGCACATGGTGACAAAGTTCTCATCAGCACCCAAGGCTCTACCTCACAGGAAAGCAACGATGCAGTTTAAAACAACAACAAGATTTCATTCATGTTCACACGAGTTATAATATTTTAAAAATGGCAATATCTAGATGAGGCAGTGGAGTGGGGAAAGAGTTAATCTTACATCCTACTGGCAAAAGGGTAAACTGGTATAGTTTTTTGGAAGAACGAATTGGAAATATCTATCAGAATTTTAAATGTGCATATCTTATACCACCAATTCTAAAGCAAGCGATGTCTTTTAGAGAAATACTAATATATTTTCCCAAAGAGTCAAGGGCAAAGATGCTCATTGTGGCATTGTTCACAGCAGTGAAAAATCAGAAACAGGCTAAATGTCCCTGAACATTTCAAGAAAGCAAGGTGCACATATTACAGAGGGCTAGCTGCAATTAAAAGAAGTAGATAGAGGGACGCCTGGGTGGCTCAGTTGGTTAAGCAGCTGCCTTCGGCTCAGGTCATGATCCCAGAGTCCTGGGATCGAGTCCCACATCGGGCTCCTTGCTCGTCAGGGAGCCTGCTTCTCCCTCTGCCTCTGCCTGCCATTCTGTCTGCCTGTGCTCGCTCTCTCTTCCTCTCTCTCTGATAAATAAATAAAATCTTTAAAAAAAAAAAAAAAAAAGAAGTAGATAGAAACACATTAACATGCTGATTTCTCTAAGGTCCCTGGTCCTTTTCAAGTAACCTTTGACAAAGTATTTGCCCATATGATAGCATGATAGAACTCAAGTCCCCAAGAAGCTTTGTCTTTATAAATGTATAGGTTTATGCCATAGTGCATAGAAAAAAGGTTTTTTTTTTTTTTTTTTTGAAAGATTTTATCTATCTATCTATCTACCTATCTACCTGTTTGAGAGAGAGGGAGATCGGGGAAAGGCAGAGGGACAGAATCTCAAGCAGACTCCACGCTGAGCACGGAGCCCAACTCAGGACTCAATCCCACAACCCCAAGATCATGTCCTAAGCTTAAATCAAGAGTCAGGTGCCTAACCCACTAAGCTACTACCCAGGCGCTCTTGTGCATAGTAGAAAGTTTTAAAGGAACCCATTAAAAATTAGCTATGATTACTTGTGGAGGAAAAGAAAGGATGTGAGGAGGTAGTGTTGAAGTGGGACCTTTGCTTTTTATATTATATACACCTTTATGATTTTTACAGCAAGAATGTATTCACCTATTACTTGCATAAAATCTATAAAACTTATATGATTACTTGTCAAATCTCCTAAAAATCTCAGCAGGTGAACAGCCCCTCAAGCAACATAGGAACATGATAGCAGAAGCTGTAGCTGAATGGGAACAATCTTTGACTATAAAATGGGTTTTGATTCTGACAACAGGGCCATCCCAGAAAGGCACTCCACTCAGTTATTTGCTCCTTAAGAAGAAGTACAGGTAAGTCTCTGTGAAGACACCTGTGTGTACATTGGCTTTTAAAATAGTTTTAATTGAACAGTATTTAAAAATAGTAAACGGCCAAAATTAAAAGTTAGGAATCATGTTAGTATTAAAAGCAGAGAGGTCTTTGTTATCACCTAAAACCATGTTCATTACTATATGCATCTCAAGCGACTGTACCCTGGGATGTGTTCCCAGGTGTGCCCAGGTGTCACAAACTACAGTGGAGGGGGCCCAGGGGCAGCAGAGATAAAGGCAAAAGGCTTAACTAAGCAAAATTTGTGACAATTGAGTTTAAACCATGAGTACACTTTAAATTATCCCTGTTGATCTTTAACTAATTAATTTACTGGTGGCTTCACTGCATCTTTCCTGTGTGCACACAATGTCCTGGGGTTGCTCAGTATCAGGAATACAGCAGTGAGCGAGACAAGGGCCACTGCTGACTTGGAGGGGGCTCATCACATCACCTGTCGCCAGCTGGTACACACATTCGTTTATACGGATGGTGCTGATTTAACAAGGAAACATATTTGGGTAAGAAATGAATTTATTATGGGCTACATTGTGACTTCCTGAGCGTCCAGAGCTGAACACAGTCTATTTTTGTTGGTATTTTTACTCGGATCACGTCAAACATCCACCTCCTTCTCTCCATCCACGTTCGTATCCCCTGCCCACGAGCGCAAGCCTCTTCATTTTACTTTCCTCCACATGCCATATACTCCAGGCGGTTCCTAGCCCTGAAGTGCTTCCAGAGTCTCTTCCCTTCTCTCCACAAGCCCTGCTGCTTGCCTGGGATGAGGCCTTCTCATCCGTGGGGCCCTGTTGCATCTGTCTCATGACTAACCTGCGTGTGCGTGACGGACTGGACACCGGACAGGCTTGAGGCAAGGAGCCAGAGTCATCTCTAAAACCCAAACCTGAGCTCATCTCTCCTGGCTTCCAAACAGTTCTGAGGGCCCTGGGACAAAGCCCAGACATCTTGCTATAGAACGGAAGGCTTTTTACAAGAAGCCTAATAAAATCAAATGCCCAAGGAGCCAGACAAATCATGTGTAGGAATAAAATGAGCTGGATGAATATGACAGATGGCAGCTGGCGCACGGCCTCGGTGTCAGGGGTCATTGAGGAGCGCTGGTGACTGCAGCGAAATGGCCAACACAGACTCTTGAAAGAGAAGCGGCTGCTCAGTGTCCATTTATTGTTGACACGCAGGAATAAGACATTCTGTGTTTTATAAATCCACTGTCCTTATTTTTTAAGGTGAAATTTCCTGATTTAAAGGAAAAAAAAAGGTCAGCTAGGGGCACCTGGGTGGCTCAGTTGGTTAAGTGTCCCACTCTCGCTTTTGGCTGAGGTCATGATCTCGGGGTTGTGGGATCAAACCCCACACCGTGCTCAGTGCAGAGTTGGCTTGTCCCTTTCCCTCTGCTCCTCCCCAGATCGTGTGCACTTGCTCTCTCTCACTTTCTTTCTCTCTCAAATAACATCTTAAAAAAACGAACAGCTGTTTTAAATGAAAACAGGTGCAGGTCAAACACCAAAAAGCCAAACAAAACAAGCTACCACAGGAGCCACTCATTCCCCGTCTCTATTTGTAATTTTGTTCCTACCTACCTCTCCGGAGAAGAGACAGACCCTCTCCCCACCTTTCCTGACCCATTAGCAAGACCAGCTTGTTCTCCATTCTGTACGTACAGCCTACACATGCCTTCCTCTTTGTCTCCATTCACAGAAAGAGCCAGGAGTGGCCAGGCTTTCCACTTCTGGCTGAGAGGACAAAGGAAGGCAAGGAGCCCAGGCTGGGCAGGGCAGCCCATTGCCTGCCCACCAGGAATACTCTTGGACCCACAAAGCCATAGTAATTCTCTCCTAGAATAAGGCACTAAAACCCAGCAAAAAGCTATAGTAAACACATATGAGGAAACCACAGTGTTGACATGACAACCTGCTTCCTTCTTGCCAGCCAACGTCTCAGAAAGCTCCTTACACCACAAATCAAAGGGACACACAGGAAGACATCTGCTTGTCCCCGCCCCCCCCCCCACGACAGGCTCATTTTCCCCTGTCTATTTACTATTCACTCTCACATTTGGACACTTTGAAAAAAAAGAACCAAGGGTATTCAAAGCCACCCCAAACAAAATCAAAACCTACCTAAACCTTGGCCCACAGCAAGTGAGCTATTGTGCCAAACTCATCTTACTTCTTGGCTCTCCCCCTGCTTGCTACTGCCCAGCATGAAACGAAAGGTCCAATTTAACAGGAAAGCAGCTCTAAAATGAATTTTTCAAATCCACTTAAAATTCAGGGGCCTTGCAGTCTTTAGCTGGACTCAGAAGTCTCAATGCTTTTATTTTTTGAAACACAGAGACATGATAGTAAGCATAATAGCACCCACTAACTGGTGAGAACACAGAATGTGGGGGATGGGGAGCGTAAATTATCAGGTAGACCTGGCCACCAGATGGAAGTGATTGAGGGTGACAAGGGACTATGGGTGTCAAAGGTGAGCAGGGGACACCAAGAACCTCACATTTGTGAAAGTTCTCAAATTTGGGCTTTGGACATTATCCTGATATGAGGCCAGATAATACTCATGGACATTCAAAGATGAAACTGAAAGATACTTGTCATTTAACTTGAATCCCAAACTAGGCTTCTAACACTTATGGCCTTTTCATTTGCTTTTAATAAAAACACCAGATGCATGATAAAATGACAGGCCAGATCTCTTGAGCATAGCATGATGTTTCAGAGCAAGGCTTCTGAAGCTAGAATGGGCTGAGTTCAAGTCCTGAACCTGCTTCTTGTCGGTAACCCTTGACTAAGTAGCACAGCTCTTCACAAGTCAACATTTGCCTCCAAGAACTGTCATCATGATTAAATAAGATCATATAAGAAAAATGCTTAGCACATTGTTGGATACATTTTAAAAGATTAATGAATGTTATCCCTTTGTTTTTATGAAAAAAGAAGGAAATTTAACACTTGGCATCTCTCATACCTTCAAATAATAACAGGCAATGTTCTGTTTGTCTATGGAGAATCAAAAGGCCATATTACAGGTTGTATTAGGAAAGTCATATTCCAAAATTACATCACTGTTTAATTTCTTGAAGTACTTTGGGTGTGCAGATAAGAAAAAGACAAAAACAAAAACATGTCTGAGCTCAAGTAACGAAGAAGTTAAAGGAGGAAGCAGCCTTTGTGTTCAGCTAAGATGGAGAAGTATAGTACATGAGAAGGGAATTCCTGGAAAGGGAGTAAAAACTGCACATGGTCTTTTAGGTAGGCAAAGCTCATGGAAAGCACTATATAATCACATGTTAATAGATTAACTTTGACTAATCCATATTCTGAACTTTTATTTTCTATCCTTTCCTTTGAAATGTTTTCAAATGAAAAACTAGAAAGACCAGATTGAATGAAGAACTCATTTGGATACCTCTGTAAGAAAATTAGAGAGTGATTTCCCCAGTGGTTGAGAGTCAATCATTACCCTGATGATTAATGTATTTCTAA